AGAGTCATTAGGTTATTTTAAAGGTCATTAGGTCAAGTTGTAGAGTCATTAGGTTATTTTAAAGGTCATTAGGTCAGGTTGTAGAGTCATTAGGTTATTTTAAAGGTCATTAGGTCAGGTTGTAGAGTCATTAGGTTATTTTAAAGGTCATTAGGTCAGGTTGTAGAGTCATTAGGTTATTTTAAAGGTCCTTAAGTCGTTAGGTCAGGTTGTGGAGTCATTAGGCGGCATTTGTAGAGGCGACATTTTAAAGGTCATTAAGTGATTAGGTTATTTTAAAGCAGGAGACATGAAAAATGTGCAATGTTCTCGCCGGGACTCGAACCTACACCTCTCGAATATGCGCCGAGTGTGCTACCATTACACCACGAAAGCATGCAGAAAACAAGGAGAAAATACCTTATAAAGTATCCACTCACTCATATTTGATAAGGGGACAGAAATGAAAATGGGTACTGAAACGAACAACGAGCGAAAAAAAAAAAAAAAAATTAAAAGCTTTCACATTTTATATTACTACCAAAACGGTATTTTCTAACGTTTTATGTGTTATTTATTTATTATTAAATATATTTATTTATTAAATATCATGTTCTGAGGCTTTAAACCATAAAGTTCAATTCAACAGCAATATCAAAAAATATTTAAAAACAACAAGATAGCATATCTTTAGAACTTCCGATTCACAATCCCGCGGGCTGGAGCTAAAAATGGTTTTTTCCGTAGTGTGTTGCCATTGCTCGCTCTGAAACCGTTAAGTTTGGCAATCAAAAATTCGTTAAAGTTTTACAAAATTTCATATAAATAATAACAAAAAATCGAACTTCAAAATTCGGACTTCCAAGTGCCCATATTCGGTTGGAGGATCACGTTATTTTAAATTTGATAGCTCTAGGTACCGTTATTTTATCACAATGCGAGAAACATACATACGTTTATGCAGATTCTTGATTATTTAATTTCTTTAAATATAATACAGGGCGATAATATTTGGTGACAACAATTTAAAAAGCCAAACGCCATTTATAGTGAAATTCCACAAATAGCCCAAACGAAATTATAAGCCCTTCTGAGCTAACTCCCTTTGGGCTAATAAATAAAAATAAATTAAAAAATAATTAATTTAAAAAAAACGTGTCTTGACCTCTGTTTTAAATTCCATAATTAGACCGTTAACTTTTAACCAGGGTTTCTTAAACTTTTTTCAGTCGCGATCCCTTTTTATCACTAAGATTTTCTCGCAACCCCAGGACCTCACCTCATAATATTTACAAAAAATTTGTGGGACTCTATAAGTATTGCGAAAATCCGACACATGCGCGAGTGAAACTGTCAGTTTTTTCACTTGTACTGTAATATACTATTGCAGTTTTAGGTCATTAACTTTAATTTCTAATTTTAAGACACAGAACAATGTGAAAATTTTAAATTAGTAACAGACGAATTGACAGCGTCACGTGCAAAGCAAGCAAAATGAACGTTTATATTATTAAAACAATGCGTCGAAACGTTTTCGTTTTTTTCATTGTCTGTGTCTTATCTTTATCTATTTTCAGATCCATTGTGTAAAAATATTTGGGTAATTGTAAAATTATTATAATAAGTTAAAGAAATATCAAAACAGCTAAAATTTTCAGCGACATCCTTAAGAGTCGCTACCCACAGTTTAAGAAACCCCGCTTTAAACTTAGATCATATACTTTCCTATGGAACCAGATGTCTCAAATCCCCTCTTTACTTCCTTTAATATAGTAAAACATTTGATTATTAATTACATAGAGAGGTGTGGTGATGACGCTTGCGTGTTAAGTTTCAGAACGACAAACGAGTTGTCTTCCCCTTACTTCTTACGTCATGGACGCAAAGGCGATCGATCAACTTCGCATATTTCACAGAATTTCCTCTAAACACACTCCATATGTGAAAGTGAAAGACACACCCAATGACGAAGACCTTAAGAAGGTCGCCGTACTTTAATGACAGAGCAATATTTGCATTTTTTATAATAGACAAATTCTGTATTATATTAAATAGTGTATTATAGGCAAATGTAATTCTATACAAATCGGTTAGCAACAATCACGATGGAAGCCTAAGCTTTTTATATGATTTGGTTTATTAAGATTACAGCAAAGCACACAAGGGCTATTTGCCTAAGGGACGACTTTGCCTTCAGTCATCGTGCAGATTGGTACAAACGGGAAATGAGTCCATTGGCGGCGTATGCATTTCCCCTTTTATTTCTACTTTTGAATGTTTCAAAGGATTCATTTCCGTTTATGTACGTAAAGTTTCCATATGCCAGTTTTTGAAATTGTTTTTGCCAAGTTCAAATTCCAATTCTGTGAGGTTACCTAAAAAATTTATAATAATCTTCTAAAAGAATTCAGCTCGCAGCATGGATTTCCTAAGTTTGGGATTTTGTAAAAGGTATCAATACTGGGATACAATCGCAGGTAAAAGTGGGAAGAGGAACCAGAAACTTCAAAATGAATAAGCTCCTTATAACTAACTATCTAGAATTTATTAAATTTAATAAAAGTGAAGATGAAATTATAAATACAATGCAGTATAAATATGAATAGTAATACATACAGAATGGTAACCTTAATAAGATACTTAAGTATAAAAATATGGCATTTGAATTTTTTAAAATATGAAGATAAATAAAAATCATAATATAATGATAAAGAAAAAACAGAAGAGTTCATGAATGTTCATAATAACTAAAAAGAGTTCATGAATGTTCCTAAGTTCATAACTCATTTTTATATAGGTAAACTAGTTTGAGAATCCAGTAAACAGTTGCATGAAAATTCCATGTAAAATTATTTCACATAGTAAGAAATCCACATAATTCCATGTAAAATAGTTCATGAATGATTCATGTAAATTATAGACTCATTCATATTGTAGCGTGCGTACCGGGTTCGCAATGAAGTGAATGCATAAGTTCGATGAAAAGTGAATAAAATTTATTCTTATCCCAAGAATAAATACAAAATGCTTAAAGTTACTCAGAGATAATTGTACAAAATATCGCAATATCTCAGTAGTAGTTATGTTTTAAACTACTAAAATATTTTACAAAACACAATTCAAAACAGAGAAAGTTAATCCGATCTCACCGCAAATTCGCTACGATCAACGAGAAAAAGAAAGTAAACTGCTAAGCAACTCGTAAAACAACTGAATTCAGATGTTTTCCTTCAGGTTTTATAAGCTTTTTAATGTGTCGCGCACTTCTCACTGTTAAAAATATCTCGGAGTGACAGTCGATAATAGACTCACCTTCACTTTTCATGTTAAAAATAGTAAGTAAAGTAAAAGCATCCAAAGTAAGTTAATAATAATTTATTTACTAAAGAAATATTGATTATATTATCTCCTAAGATTAATTATAGTAAAATTATCCTAAAAGAGTGAATCCATACTTAGTAAGTTCAATTTCGAAAATTGTTTTAAAGTAACTTGAATGTAAATTGTGAAAAATGTTTAAAGAGGACTTGAATTAAATCATGAATAACAAAATTTCAAATGTAAAAAGAAATAAATTAAAAGCAAGTAATAAAATTAAATGCAAGTAATCATTGCCATTGATCGGAAGTTACCCGGCTCCGTAGGCTCAGCTTTTTTATTCTTCAGTGTTGGTAAATTGTGCATTTTTTGCTTTAAAAATCATTGAATTATGCTGTTCTTACCTTTCGGTTAAAGTTTTTATGCCTTTAATTAATCTTCAGGCAATACTTATAGAATTACCCACAATTTAAAAGTTGTTTAAGTGCAGCTTAACCTATTTTTTTTTTAAATTTTTTTTATTTATTTATTTTTATTTTTTTTTTTACCAGAGCAGCCATATTTGTTTACATTTGAAACATAACAGAATAGTGAATTAAGTCAGTTTCTGCACCTTCTATGCCTTTTTGACGAGTGGGTTCAAAAGGAAACTGCATACTTCCATATAAGTTATATATATTACTTATAAGGAAATGAAGGCATGCAGAAAGAAGGGAAAAAGTACGTTATAAGGTATGCAGTCATTCATATTTGGGATGGGGAAAGAAATGGAACGAACGGGAAAAGTAAATAAAATTAAAAAAAAAAAATAATAATATAATAAAATCTGAAAGCCTTCAGATTATATATTACGAACAAAGGGGCGTTTTTTTTTCACGTTTTGTGTGTTAATATCATGTTTGTGTGTTACAGTAATTAAGTATCATATTCTTCGCACTTATACCATAAAATTCAATTCAACAGCAATACCACAAAAAAGGAAGCCTCGCTCTTTATGTGAAAGTTAAACATAAAAATTCCAAATTCGGGCTTCCAGATTCCCATATTCGAATGGAGGAGTACGTTATTCATAATTGGATGTCTCTAGGAAACGTCGTTGTTTTCGCAGTGCGAGTAACGTACATACTTCCATGCAGATTCTTCATTATTTTTTTTTAAATATAATGCAGGGCTCTAATATTTGGTGGCAACAATTTGAAAAGTGAAGCGCCGTTTGTAGTGAACCAACGAAAATGGTAAAAGGAAATTGATAGCCCTTCTGGGCTAATGCTTCTTTGGCTTAAGAGCAAAATATCCGTTTCAGATATGCAACATTATGCAAGTTATGCATCACTTTTTAAAGCTTATTATTATTTCTTAATTGCGTTTAATGTAACATTCTAATAAATGCCCACAGGTTTTGTTAAATTTTGCACACTTACTCAAATTATATTATTCTCAGGGTAGATGTAATTAATAAATACTGAAATACATAACACAGAATTATTAGTGTTCGAGATTTGTATAAGTAAATGTTACAGATTATAAGGAAATAAACGTTACTCCGAGTACGAAGGCCGTACCAATTTGCCTTCAAGAATAGACGAGGTCTCAATGACACTATATTGACGAATAACTGTCTCCTCGGCCGTTACCGGATTGTGGAAAACAGGAAAATTTTTTGATTGTATTTTTATACATTTATTAGTATAAAAGGTGGTCGGTATCGGACAGAAACCAATTCAGACAGATCACTCACATCCTCATCATGATCGCAAAGGTAAGAAATTGTTCTTTTACCCCTCTAAATTAATGAAATGCTAATAAAATGCTGATTTTATATTACGCCCAAGAGGAGGCTCTAAAATTGACGCTATCAGAGTTTTTAATTAATATTTCGAGTGATTAAAGTCGTACGAAGATGGAAATAATAGAAATGGCTTCACACAAATTTTTTGGAATCGAAAATAATGTATTTAAGGTTTGGCAATGCTATTTTTAATTCATCGTTTTTGTTTAAGAAACTCTAGGGTTTGAAAGCGATCGGTTGCAACAGCTTTCGAAATAAAGCAGATTTTCATTTCCAGCTTAAAGAGTGTTGTCACTCTGAAAAATGAGGGCGAAAATTGTTGTTTTTCTCCGATTGATTCTAGCTTTTTTTTTTTTTTTTTTTAAGTGCACGTCGACATTTCCCAGGACCCAGAAAAGAATTGTAGAAAGTTTGGTGACGATAGCTATAGCAGTGACAAAGTTATTAGCGAACAAAGATACTGTCTTCTTTATATATAGATAATAAAAATTTACGTTTTATGAATAATGTTTAATTATAATGTTAAAACCAGAATTAATAAAGACTTTCTCTTCCTAGGTCGTATTCTTGTGTGCTGCTTTTGCAGTATCTCATGCCAATATCCATCTCAAAGCACCCCTTGTGAGCACTGGTGTCAGCCAAACATCTAGACAGCAAGATGTAAGTTGCATTTTTTGATTTTGAAATAAAATAAAAGTGAAACTTTCTTTGCACGAAATATTTATAAAATTCTGGCGAAAGTTAACTCAATTAATATATCTCGCAATCCTAATTTTGTAGTACATTCAGAAGTTATCCGTCTCTTCAGTTTCTACCAATTGCCGACAATTTAATTAAATACGTACAATTTACGTATTTTCTCTATCTTTATGTTATGATCATTTCAAATAAAGTAATGTTTTATTATGCAAGTAACAAAAAATTATTAACTAAACTTAAAAAATTATAATATTTTAACTAAGAGTGTGGTTCTTATTGTTTAAGATATTTAAAATTTTTATTGATATGCTAAGTATTCAGCTCCCTTTTAAGCACTAATATTTTGACTACAGATTTAATATATCATCTTAGCGATCAAGCGGTAAAACTACTGAACACTGGTTATTCGACCCTAGATTAAATACCGGCCAACAGCTTGACTGCACGATGGCTTATCTCTTTTATAAGATGAATATGAGCCAGTTCTTTTTTAATTGTCTCCATGAATGGCACCTCCTTGTAAGGCATATTTTAATTTTATAACAGTTATTTTAATTTGAAAACCTTTCCCATCAATTCTAGTTTCCACTTACAACTCCCTACCAGAATGAGGATTTAGAATCGCGTTAAATGCAAATGAGATAGAGGAAGTATTTAAGGAAGGTTCAACTACGTGAAGGTTGAACTGAGTGAGTGCTATGAGCCCTTAGTGACACGTGTTTGCCTTCTGGCTAAGTTATTCGTGAAGCTGTTGCGATCGGCCTCATTATGCGTGCTTATTGGTATCCGCCGGCTAGTTTAATTTAAGGGCCGACTATGTTAGCTGATTGTGTCTAACTTCGTCTAAGTCTCGTTTAGTTAATTATAGTTTAGTTCTTAGCTAAAGCCCAAGTAGATGTTTTCCTGTGTAGAGACATAAAGTATTTTTTTTTTTTTGGAAGCAGGCAAGATGAAAAATCAGCAAAGCCTTCGCCGGGAATCGAATCGCGGACCTCTCAATTACGCGCTGAGCGTGCAGACCACTACACCACGAAGGCTCGCCAAACTGCTATTCTTATTGAGTGAATAAAATGGTGTTTTAACCCTTCTCCAGTCTACGTCTTTAATTGACTGAACTCAACGATAAGTCGTTGCACAGCTCACTAAGTTCCTCGACATTCATCTTAGACAAAGGGCGAGGAAGCCTACACCTTTCCTCACCGCCCTTGCGTGTTTCGACAACGAATCCGTTCCTGCTGTTTCACTTAACTAATCAGATACTTAGAGAAACAAATTTTTCGTTGAAATTGTTAAGCATTAACTTTTCAGGGCTGTTAATCATATTTTCAACAATTAATGACTATGATTTTTTCTAGGCTCATGGCAGCTATGCTTTTGGTTATGATATTGTTGATAAGCATGGCGCCTCCAACTCCAGATCTGAAGTCGGTGATGGCTATGGCAACAAAAAAGGCACCTATACCATCCACGACATTGACGGCAGAGCAAGAAGAGTAGATTACGTGGCCGACAAACTTGGATTCCGTGCTGCTGTCAAAACCAACGAACCAGGAACTGCTCATAGCACCCCTGCTGCAGCTGCCATAAACAGCCCCTACGCTGGACCATCCGTCGATCACATCGCGCCTGTTGCCACTGCTGTCGTTGGACATGCCGCTGTTGCAGCTCCCGTAATTGCTGCTGCTCCTGTAGTTGCTGCCGCTCCTGTAGCCTATGGTGGATATGGTCTTGGACACGGTGCAGCAACTGGTTTAGGATATGGCGCCGGCACATATGGAGCCGGAGCATATGGTGGATATAATGCCGGTGCATATGGAGGATATAGTGCCGGCACATACGGAGCCGGAGCATATGGCGGACATGATGCCGGTGCATATGGAGGATATGGTGCCGGCACATACGGAGCTGGAGCATATGGCGGATATGATACTGGTGCATATGGAGGATATGGTGCCGCTACTGGAAAGGGACTGGTCTACTAATAATTGTAACTTTTTCTTTAGGTATCTGAAATTATATGTGTAAAATATTGTTACTTCTTTATTTCGCATGTGAAGAGTTCTTGAAGCTGTTCTTGATAATAAATCCTATAGATTGAAAAAAAATGGTGCTTGTTTCTTTGTTCATTCCATGATGTATGTCTAAAGTCTCCTGTAGTTGCTGCCGCTCCTGTAGCCTATGGTGGATATGGTCTTGGAGACGGTGCAGCAACTGGTTTAGGATATGGCGCCGGCACATATGGAGCCGGAGCATATGGTGGATATAATGCCGGTGCATATGGAGGATATGGTGCCGGCACATACGGAGCCGGAGCATATGGCGGACATGATACTGGTGCATATGGAGAATATGGTGCCGCTACTGGAAAGGGACTGGTCTACTAATAATTGTAACTTTTTCTTTAGGTATCTGAAATTACCTGTGTGTAAAATATTGTTACTTATTTATTTCGCATGTGAAGAGTTCTTGAAGCTGTTCTTGATAATAAATCCTATAGATTGAAAATGGTGCTTGTTTCTTTGCTCATTCCATGATGTATGTCTAAAGGAGTTGAAAGACAAACGAAGACATTTGATAAAATATGTAAGATTCAGAATGTTGGTAAAGTGCAGTACTAACAAGGAAACAGCTTAATAGGATTGAACAACTATAAAAACGAAATTTGATAAAATTTTAAGCAATGGCAAGCATAAAAATCTGCAATCAAATTCAAAGAAAGGATTTTTGAAGAAGTTTTAAAAGGAATGCAATCAGGGCACAAAACATACTTATTCATAATTCTACAAATTCATTACGCGATTACTATTCTTCGTTTGCGGGTATCTGAGTTATTCTTTCTGATTAACCATTAGTTTCATTTAAAATTATTTTACCTATGTTGCTTCAAGCCATTTTATCTATAGGAGACTTCCAATTTTTTCTTCTAATGTTTTGATCACTTAAACAAACACTTGAGCAAAACATGTAAATAAAACATCAATATAAAAAATTATTAAACTTAATAATACAACAAAGTGTAATGTGTTATACTGTAGCGGAAACAAACTTCCAAAAATGCATATGACTCAGGAAACACCGATTCTCAATCCACACTTTTGGAATTAGGGAAATATCTCATAGCGTGTATTATATATTAGCCTATACCTTATCTCACATTTAGTGCTATATAATCTTCCACAGAATATATATAAATAAAAAAAATCTGAAAGGATTCAGATTTTAAATTACGTCTAAAGGAGCGCTTTTCTAACGTTTTGTATGTTACCTTTATTTATTAAGTATCATGTTCTTTGCACTTAAACCATGAAATTCAGTCAACAGCAATATCGAAAATTAATTTTAAAATGAGCTTATCTTTAGAAATTCCGATACAGAGTCTCCCGCGCTGGAGATATTTTTTTTTTTTTTTTTTCCCGTACAGTGTAGCCATTGCTCGCTTTCAAAATCGTTTAGTTTTTGAATCAAAAGTTCTTTAAAGTGTTACCAAATCTGAAATCGATAATAAAACAAATTTCAAATTAGGGCTTCCACATGCCCATCTCTATGGAAGATTATGTTATTAAAATTTGGATGGCTCTATGTACCGTTGTTTTATTAAAATGCGAGAAACATACATATATTTATGTAGATTCTTCATTATTTAATTTCTTTAAGTATAAGACCGAACGTCAATATATGGTGGCAACGATTTGAAAAGTGATACAGCCTCTTAAAGTTTTCGCCGCAAAATGTCAAAACGAAATTAATAGTCCTTCAGGGCAAATTGTCCCTTTGGACTAAAAATGGTACGGTTGTACCTATATCTCCCGTTCTAACGGGCCAATTGACAAAATTTAACTTCCTCTTTTCATGTTTCGAATGCGATGCATATTATAATTTATGTATAGTTTTTTTCTAACATAGGTATTTTGACACAAAACCGGAATTTTTCTGAAATGACATACTTATTTTCTTTTCATATTTCGATTTTACGACTGAAATTATGCCAAAGAGACAAATTTTGTAAAAAATCGCACGAGCAGTTTTTAAACATTAGCTTCAAAATTTTAGCTGTTCGATGTTATTTGAATATGGTATATATTTATTAATTTCTCTTTTTTTTTATTAAACTTACTGAAATTCTTTCTTTAAAATTCGAAATTGAGGTTGAATCCAAATAAATTCCTATCTATGTCTGATTTGTTTTTTAATTTGTAATTTTCATAAACGTTTCGAAAAAAAATTAATTGCAAAGAATATAAAATATTTGCCGTCATCTTAAAGTAGATGTATTTCCAGGAACACATGCAAAAAATTAGAATTTTTTATTTAAAATTTCCGAAGACATACATGAACTTATACATTGGTGTGTTGAAATTTGGCGTGTTTGTTATAAGCGATAATAACGCTAAACTCAGTTTAGACACTTCGTTAAAATTATCTGAATGAATGAACGACACAACTTTTATTTCCCTCTCCCCGTGCACAGTGATAGGCTTTGGTTTCTTTTGGTTTATGTGATTACGGGAAAGCCTCGATAGCTATCTGCATAAGGGAAAGGATTCTTTCGTAGAGGACTTTCTAAGGGAAACTGGCTCGTATACGTGTTACACATGGGAAAAACCACGAAAACGCCCATGCAGCCAGGCCGTTCGCAGGATTCAGACCTAGGATCGAACTACCAGTATTCAGTCACTTTACCGCTCGGCCGTTGGTGGGCCCGCACAATGAAAGGGAAAGGAAAATTCATTAACATAAATGAATAATTTCAGCAAGTGAATAATTCTTGTAGCAAATATAAAAAGAAAATGGCCCACCAGAGGCCGAGCGGTAAAGTCCCTGAACACTGGTAGTTCGGCTGAGGTTCGAATCCCGCGAACGGGCTGGCTGCATGGCAGTTTTAGCGGTTTTGCCCATGTTAATACAAGCCAGTTTCTCTTAGAAAGTCTTCCACAAAGGATCCCTCTCTTCTGTGCAGTGCCTTAGGGCGGAGCACGTAAATAATAATAAACTTAAAAATGTGCGCCAAGATAAATTTTAAAATTTCTCCGTAAGTTTCTCGCGAAATTTTACAAAATTTAATAGTTAGACATAATTTGAGTGGTAGAATCCAAATATGGAAAGAAATCGATATGGCGTTACTTCACAGGTATTTCTAGTGCAGTTAAAAATTACAGCAAAGAGAAATAACCCATAACAAAAAAGTTTTACTGCAATTTTACTGCATTTTCAAGCAACTTAAGCCGGAAATTAAATTCATTTGCTTATTTAAAATGAAAGTTTCCCCATAGCACGCATGCGCACCCTCGTTCACTTTGCTCTTATTTCTTCCTTGTTTCGAAGTAAACATGACCCTTTGGGATTGGTTTTAATTAATTATGGCAAAGCTTTCGAGGGCTACCTGCCTAAGGGAAGGGATTCCTTCGTAGAGGACTTTCTGAGGGACACTGACTCGTATACACGTTACACACATACGTCGCTTTTGTTTTTGCTTACTTTTACTCTTGTAATTTGATAAAACACAATGTGAAACAACATAAGCATTAAATGCTGCATATTTAATTTTTTTAAAGACTGACCGATTTACTTTTAACGAATAATTTATGAATGTCCCGAATTACGCAGAATTAAACTAACGTACTGCTGTGAATAAAATCTTTGCTGTAGCATCATCTACGTCACTGCTATGGACGTTTCCTTACATTATATATATTCAGCTGGCAGTTATGTTTTACGCTATTTGTTTAAATTAAGGAAACATATACAAAGCTCCTCGTGGATTCATAATACAAGGAGTATTCATAATACAATAACGGTACTTACGTATTATCGCAACCAGGTTGGCGCGATTCGTAAGTTTGAGTAAAAAAGTATGAATAGAAAGAAAATGTACATTTATTAATTACAGATAATTTTTAATACAGTTTTTTATATTATTTTGTTTTAAAATATAAAATAGCAATTAAACCCTTCCGGTTTCGAATTTGAATAAGTTGCAGAATTATTTTTTCGGCGGAAATCTTTTGGCTATTGCTTTTAGCACTGATTGAAAACCGTCTTCGCCATTAACAGCTTGAGCTTGGCGCCATATAAATTCGATAAGGTATGAGTCAAGATGATGACGGGCTGTTCCTCTCTGTTTTTTGTTGCGTCATTTGGATGAGCCCCACATGCGCTCTACATGTTGTGTGTGAACGCCCGTGTTGGGATCCACAAAGTTATATTTGTGATTAACAGTTCCATGCAGAAATCCAGCATTTTCGAACTCACTTGTATTGTATCCTTTCCAGCAATTCGAATAAATGATGCTTCCTTCCTTGATATTTTCGCAAATTTTTTCCATGAGGGTAACGGCGCTTCTGTTAGGTACAGTAACCAAAAAAATTTTCTTTCTTTTCTCGGCAAATTCCGCCGAAAACCCATTGCTGTGGTAGTACACGCCCCATAACACATAGGGTTGCCGTAAGTAGGGTCACCAAATTTGGCGATTTATGCGAATTGGTTGCATTAATACGTAAGTACCACAATAACTCATAATACAAGGAGATACAATTCAACAATATAACAAGATATCTAGTTCTGAAGAGAGCGAAGAAAAAATATAAAATGCAGATACTATTAAAATACTAAAATATACCATTAATAATTAAACTATTAATTACTTCTATAATAGAAAGTAAACCAACTTAATAATAATAATATAGAAAAAGAAAAGACAAAAGATAAAATTAAAAAATCTTTAAGTTTTTAGATATTATATTACGCCTCAAAAGGGAGTTTTTTAACGTTTTGTCCGTTACCTTTATTTATTAAATACCATGTTCTTCGCACTTAAAACATAAAACTCAAATCAATCGCAATATCGTAAAATAATTGAAAAAGAGCATACTTTAGAATTTCCGATACACAGTCTCGCGCGCTGGAGATGAAATTTCCCATACAGTGTTGCCATTGCTCGCTTTGAAATCTTAACCTTTTATGAGTTTCTTAAGCAAAAACGCATAAATGCTTTACAAAATATGAAATGGATAATGAAACAAAGTGCAAATTCAGGCTTTCAGATGCCCATATTCGGGTGGAGGCGTAAGTTATTCAAAATTGGATGGCTCTAGGTACCGTTGTTTCATCACAACGCGAGAAACATGCATACATTTATGCAGCTTCTTCATTATTTAATTTATTGAAATGTAATACAGGACGAAAATATTTGGTGGCAACAATATGAAAAGTGATTCAGACTTTTAAAGTTTTCGACACAGAACGGCAAAACGAAATTAATAACCCTTCTGGATTAAAAAAGGAAATAATACTTAATAATCTTATATATATGCGGCTTAAGTGTCTCTTTGTCGCCGATAGTTTATTGGTTGCTTGCGTAACTGTACCAGCCAATGAGGTTAAGTTGCCACGGCATTCAAATAGTCTATATACACTGATACCATACATGCAGTTATTGTTTTAATTAAATTATCATGGTATTTAAGAACATTTAAATATTTTTAATCCATACAATTGTTGCTTTATTA